AAGTCGAGAAGGAATTTGTCTAGTGAAATGAAGAATAATACGACCCTAACTGGACCTTAGTACACTGATTCAGACAGTGTAGGATTCATTGAAATATTTACTAGCTGAGATAAGAAATTTGCAAACCAGAATTACATACTGAGTCTAATTTTATCCCACAAAAGGCAGATAAATTCAGTTCTGCAACTGTATTAATGAAAGCTTAAATGTATAAAGTATGTGTCTGAATATTCTTAATAGAGCCATTCTACCTGCTTCAAGAATTTTAGCATTCAAAAACTTTGTAATGTTATATAAATAGTAAGGAGCATCTCTTTGTTTAAAAAAAATAGTCTGACACTCTCTAATTAAAACACCAGTCACTGGGTTTGGTTGATGCTGGGAGATGGCTATGTAAAGACTTTATTGTTCTGTATTCTTGTCTGTTCAGAGTTTTCAGTAAAAAGTTTGTGGGGTTTTTTTAATCATTCAGTTAATACCACATTTCTGGGATCTGGACCAAATCCAAAGTGCTAATATTACACATTTAAATATAGATGGAAAACATTTGTGGTATCTGGATCCTCCAAAAAGAAAAGTTGTTAATGATGTTAGGACAACTCATGGAAAGTTAGAGACCAGAACTCTGCAGACCAGAGCAGAGGAGGAAAACTGCTCTCTCTCTGGTTTGTGCCTACCAGGGGCTTTTATGCAGGTCATCTCAAAAAGCCAATCACTATTCTTGCACAGTGGCGTGTAAGCATGATAATGTGCCGCCACTCTGTATACACCAATAATGCAAGATACACATAGTAAATGACATATAATTTTATAATAATTTCTGACATGGTTACATTTATTACTTAATTCAGAAATGGAAAGCCTATACTTACAAGGGCCAGCTTTTCTTGTAAGCATGAGTAAGTAGTAACTTTTGGCTGAGAATGTCAATCTGATTATAACCTTCTTATAAGCCTGACTTGAATAGTAAATATTGCCTGGGAACTTTGATCTCATTATATCCGCCATGCCATTACTTGAAAGGAACGTGGCTAACCACATTTTGGTAGATACATTTCAGAATACAGAAGCTCACAAAAAATATCCCTACTACTTTAGTTAACAAAAATGCCCACCCCTACCCCAATCTTGGTGGGGGGGATATGTCTTCTTACCCCTAACAGTCCTACCAAGGCAGCCATTCAGTTTGTGCCTCAGGAGTGCTAGGGCCCTATTTCTAGAGAGCAGTCAAGCATCATAAGGAGTTCTGTTTCTGCTGCCCCCAGATGTGGTACTGAGAACATTTACAAATCAATAGTTTGTCAAAGAAGATGACTTATTGTTACATTTTTAAGAGGAGATAGTCAAAGCAAACTAAAAAAAAAAAAGAAACAAAAACCAGGCCAGCAGGAGAGAGGAAATTCGGACACATAATATTAAGAACAACTAACTAAAGTATTACCGAAGTATGGAAATTAATATTAAAATGCAGTTACTATCTTACAGCCACTTTGCAGAAATAGTAATGAAACAGTAAATTCATTTAATGTGGCACACAGAATTATTATTGCATGGTCTAACATCCCAGGGACTGAAGCTCTCTACTCCAGCCAACAACAGGCTTGCTGTGTCTCTCTGTTTTACTTTGTAAGGTAAAACTGTATTGCCTCTGCACACCCGGGCCTCTCCTTGGCCTTGTTGGTTTTATTGCCCTGTATGTCGCAGTGCTGTCTTTGTAATTTGGTTAAATTACCTTGGTGAAATTCCTCAAAAATTTTAGCATGGGAGTTCTATAAAAATAAAAAAAGTTCTTTGGTGCCCCTTGGAAAAAAATAACCATTCTTCTTAAGTAATCATTTAACTACATTCATTAAAATAAAACAGTATTAGATAAAATTATTGCTAGAAATCGGCAATCCTTTCAAATCACATTAGTCTTAAACCAGAAGATTTTTTTAAATTAATATTCTTTCCATAAGATTTCTGTGGTATAAGGCAATCGTTTTTTTAAAAAACACTGGTAAATGCTTGGATTTTCAATTCTAAAATTCCATTTATTATAATATTATCTGATACTCATATCATCCTTTTCCAGGTAAATACTGTCTTCCTCTCCATCAAGACCATGGCCAGTCATTTATCCTTCTTTTCTTCTCCTTCATTTAAGAAGGCTTTTTCTCAGCATGATTTCCCAGTTTTTCCAGCCATTATTTCAATCCTTGTTCTATAAGCCTGATTCTTATGGTGCCATTTAAGTATTTAATGAATTCATTCATTCCTATCTTTTTCTTTTAAGAATCTCTTTGCACAATTTGTAACAAGGAATAATTCATTTTTGAAGTCCCTGCTGTCGAGTTTGCAAAGTAGTGAAATAGAACCCCTGACATCATACCTTGATTATCTGCTGCCATCCATTCCATGTCACTCCTCAGACCTAGGGGTTTCCCATGGTCTACTTTCTCTACGGCCAAGAAAGGCCACAGAACCATTCTGAGTGATTTCAATACAACTCATACTCTCTAGGGTAATCTAAACTTTCATGGCTACATGTGGTTTTTGCTGACTTACCACATTCTTGACTCTTTTCAAGCTCCGAGCCTAACAATTTCCCAGGAAGTGATTCACTTTTTAACAGGAGTAAATCAACTTTCTGATATGAGTAGTATCTTGGAATTCCCTGTCTTTTCACTTTTCTTTTGTCCATCATTTCTTTCGATTAAGAAGAAAATGTTCTTTTGCCTTGCCAACTAACCATTCCGTGTGTGTTGGGTTTTTTCACATCTCCTGTTTTCCTCAGCACATTTTTTCATCCGTTTTCCTCCCTGTCCTTTACAACATCAGTCTCCCCCAATCTACAGGCTTATTAACTGTGGCCTAAAGTCACGCTCAGACATTTCACTCCGCCAAGAAGACCCTGATTAATCATTGTCTTTTAAAAATTTCTTTCCCTTTCTTTCAAAGCCCTAACTGAAAGAATAGTGTATACTCATTTTCCGAATTCCTTACCAGCTGGTCCTTCAATTTGACCTCTGACTTGTCTGTGCAATGGAAATAGTACTCTGTTTTAAAGTTCATCAGTGATACTTGTATAACACTTATAGTCATCTGTTCATTCACCCTTCCATTCATATTCACACAAGAAGTATTTGTGCTTGCTAGTAGACACTTGATAGATACTAGAAGTACACCTGAAAAAGACACAGTCCTTTTTGTCAGAGAGTTTATAATTTAGGTAGAGGAAACAAACAGGTAGAGAATTACTAGGCAGTGGAGGAGTTGCAAATAGTTATGTGTAAAGCAATATGAAAATAAAGAAAGCATTGCCCAACTCAGCCTTTAGGTGATCATGAAAGCTTTCGTATTGAAGTTAAGGCTTCTCTTAAAGAAGGGGTGTCCAGCTCGTGGGCTGCTTGCAGCCCAGGACAGTTAAGAATGCGGCCCAACACATAATCCTAAATTTACTTGAAACATTACTTAGCTTTATTACTAAGTTTTATTACTTAGATATGAACATTTTCTATATTAATGATCACAAACAGGACCTGCTTGATAATTTTAGAAGATTATTGAAAGGGCCACTGCATAATTAGGGTTACTACGTGAGGACTTTTTTGTTTATCTGTGGTGGCGGATATCACAAAAATTATGCGCAGATCTTTGTTTTGTTCATCAGTTTTCATTAGTGTTTGTGTATTTAATGTATGGCCCATGACAACTCTTCTTCCAGTGTGGTTCTTAGATGCCAAAAGTCTTTCCTTTAAGACCCCTGTCTTAAAGGAAAAAGAACAAATATCTAGGTTAAAAAAGGGTGGAGGGAGTGAGTGACAGCATTTCTAGCAGAGAGAGCCTCTTTCAGGAAGAACCTGAAAGTTTATATGCTTTTGGTTATATATTTGCAAATTTGGAACATGAGAGCATTATTTGTTTGGGGAAGTGGATGGTGATGAGGCCACTGGAACAAGAGCTTTGCCCGTATTGAGTTTTTAAAGTCCTGTTTAAATGTTTGTGTATATGTATGTTTTGAGGAGTAGGAAGAAAGGGGTCCAGACTTTTAATCTGTTTCTAACCAGTGAACCTGCGACTTTACAGTATCTAAATGTAGTTGAAGATCAGGTTATATATAAAGCTTCAAATATCAAGCTAAGGAGTTTTTAATTGTATCTTGAAGACTCTAGTTTGAAGAAGGTTAAGAAATATAGCAATATGCTCAGATTTGTTTTTCTGAAAAGTTCAGTCTCTGTAATGTGAATTATAATACGAGCTGAGAAGGAGGAGTCTCGGACACACGAAGGAGTCCAGACATGAAATAAACCGTGCTGTGTGATAGCTGTGGTGAGTGTGAGGAAGAGGGGCAAGTCGGAAACATTTTGAAGGTGGACCTTAGACTTCAGTGGGGTCCTGCCCTCTCATACGGCACACACCACACAACCCCACACCATCTCTCCCACTGCTGAGGCTTACTCGTCTTATCCTGGTGAAACTAAACATCCTATCCGAATTAAGAATTTTGTACTTCTACATTTAAAATTATTTGAGCTTGATACTGTGTCTGGATTTTTCTATCCCTTATAGCACCTAACTCAGAGAATTACACATAGTGAGTGTTCAAAACTGGTTTTTCAGGTGATTTTTATATAACACCCACTCTGTTCTAAAAGCTTTGCATATATATATTCACTTAATGCTCACAACAACCCTACCAGGTGTGGGTTATTATTTACCCCCCTTTCCAGCTGAAGAAGATGAGGCCCAAGAACACTAAGTCAACTGCATGAGGCCGTGCCCCTGGCAGTTTGCGGAGTGAGATTCAAACCCATGCACGCTCCTGTCAGTCCAGGCTCTTCCCCAGGAAGCCAGACTGGCTCAAAATTGGAATCACACTGTTTGAATACCACCCAGCGATCTGTAAATTTAAAACATTATTTAAAATGTTCTAGTCTCACAGTTGTAAATCTTAACTTGATTTGTGTGGAACAGCTAATCAGTTTGCTTTCAAACGTTGTTTGTTTTAATCTTTTTAGAACCAGTTCGGAGATACAAAACTTACCACAGTGATATCTTTAGTACTTCCAGTGAAAGTCCATCAGTTATTTCCTCTGAATCGGATTTCAGACAAGGTAAGAGGCATCTCAAACACAAAATGTTTTTAAGAAACCATGATTGTTCTTCTTCAGATGTTGAGATATGAGGTGGCAAAAGAATATTTCTATATAAAATTTAAGAATTGTGAAAAGCTGCCAGTTACTCATTTTAACAGTGTCTTCATCAGACAACACTGTAGTCATTTTCATAATATAGAAAATTATTCATTGAATAATGAAATAATGAAAATAATTCATTTTAAATAATTATTTAAAAATAACAGACTTACATCTGGAGTACAATGCCATTGTCATTAATTCTATTATATGAATAAGACTTGAATATGAAATGCTTCATAGTTTCAAATAAGATTATTTCATATTATTATCACCTGTGCTATTATTATTTCTTTTTCAATTATAATTAGTGAGAAAAAGTGAAGCTTCGAAGAGGTTTGAATCCAACAGTGGTCTCCCAGGAGTAGATGAAACTCCAAGTCAAAGCCAGTCACACAGACCAAGGTATATGACATTGAAAAAGTAATAATATATTTCCAATGATAGGATTTTTTTAAAATTTGAATCAAGTAGAATTTTTAAAAAATTATCCTGTTTTTTCTATTTTCTCTGGTTTCCTTTTTCCTTTTCATCTGCTTTAAATTCTCAGAAATATATTCTTTTATGTGAAAGACATCATAGTGGTTCAAGTTTGAGTTATTGGAATCTTTTAAAAGTGGACTTGGCTCTAATTATTTATAATCTGTGCTTGATTTTTGAAATGACAATATGAATATGAAATAACTTATTAACAGGAAATTTTGAAGGCATGGCATTGAACATGTGTGAGAAGATAGGTCAATACCTCTTTTGAAAGGTTGAACAGGTTCAACAAGCAGAATTTCACTGAGTATTATTTGTTGAATGAGTAATGAGTAGGTTACTATTAAGTAATCTATTATGTAAAAAGTTAATTATCCACTACATTTTTCCAGGTTTAAAATAAGTTGTTTTATATTTTTTAAAGCCCAATTTGAGCTGTTTAAGAGTTCATTCTAATACTGAAATACTTAGCTTTCTTCTGTGGTATTAGGTATTATTCTTGCTCCATACTTAGGATGGTGTTATTATAGCTGTGTATAGATTTTCTTTGTTTAAACTGAAAAGTATCAAAGCACTAGTGAATATACTGACGTGTATTCTTTTGGTATGTGCACAGGTCCCTTACATTAAAAAAAGCATGTTGTTAATGTTAAGCATTAATTTGAAATTTGCAATACGACTATTAGAGAACTGGAGGTTGCTACAGAATTTACTTCTAAACTGTGAGAATCCTTTTAAATTTATTATCTGTTTGTTTAATTCAAGTGCCACCTTATATACGAGAATCATTTGGAAATTAACAAAAACTTGCCCTTTAGCTAATTAATTCTGGCAGACACTGTTTCATTACTGTGAACTATTAATAGACTAGGTAACCCTAGCTGTGTGATTAAAGGTTTAGACTCCCAGTAATTAAATAAATACATTGCACTAAAATTATCTTTAATGTTCCAGTTTTTATTAAATTCATATAACTTTATCTTCTCTCTTATACCTTTTAAAATAGTCCATGGTATTTTAGTTTACTTGAGGAAAGCTCTAATAAGATTCATTTACCTAAAGTAATGTTATATTTGCATAATAGCATTTTATGTTACTATAACCCCATGTGGTAATAGTAACTGTGATAACTCTGTTTTGCTAATTTCAAACAAAAGGTAAGAGACAAAGATCTGTGCTTGATATTACGTAGTTTTCTTAAAGAAGCAAAGGTGTTGGGTGGGTATGAATACCAGTGTGAATATGGAATTGCAATAAGCTCCGTGCTGAATTAAGGAAGTCCCTCATATATGATTTGGAGAAAATTGTAAACAGTTAATATAATGCCTCTTTAACTTGATCAAAAGTAAGAATAGAGAAAAACAACTGGAAGAAGTATTGAAATAGTGTTTAAAATTGACTGATTTTATAGTCAGTTTATTAGTCATATAAAAACATATCCCTCCAAATAAATCATTTTGTGTGTCTTATTTCAGTTTTATTGATAACTACGTCAAAAGTGTCAAGATTATGAGAGTATTTTAGTTATGCTATTTCCAGGTTTTCTATAGGAAGCATTCACATTGTTATGGGAAGAACTCATGCCGAACACTGGAGGAAGCGAAGTGGAACCTTTATTTACAAGCACGGACGCATAGGAGGCAGTCTCCAAATTCTGGGCCCCAATTAGCGGGGAACAGTTGCTTATATAGGGTGAGGGGTGGTCTGTCACTTAGACCATTACTTCTGGTGGGAAAGCAAGAAGCAGCTTACAGAAGCGAAATGTTATCTCTAGCACACAGAGACACAATATTGTCTCTAGCACACAAATGTTATCTCTAGCAATTGTTATCTCTGATGGGCAGGAACAAGCAAGAAACAAAGGGGAAAAACCCAAGTCATTCCCTGGCTGCTGTGCTATGTTTTAAAATAACTGCCAGTTTCCTCTAACAACATTAAGGACATCTTAGCTCAGCAAAACATGTTTTAGTGATAAACTATTGGGTTGGCCAAGAAGTCCTTTACATTTGTTCCAATCTATGGCTCTAATAATGTTTAGTAGTCTTTAACTTCATTTGAAACAGTTTTGTTAGATCATATTGTGATAGCTGTCATATCAGCGTGCATTGGAAAAAACATCAGAATTGGTGAATTTTTGTGCAGCTTTTTTAATATTGAAGATGAAAGAAGACACAATATTTTCAGTGTATTATGCTTTATTTCAAGAAACGTAGAAAGGCAACTTAAACTCAGAAGATTTGTGTAATGTATGGAGAAGAGGCTTTGACTAATCAAACATGTCAGAAGTGGTTTGCAAACTTTTTTGGTACTATTGACATTCTGGCCAAATAATTCTTTGCTGTGGGGCTGTCTTATGCATTGGAAGATGTTTAGCAGCACCCCCTGGTCTCTACCCACTAGAAGCCAATAGCAAGAGATAGCCAACATACTCAAAATATACAAATCAATAAAATTACTGGTGAAAATGAAAAATGTGTCTTTTATGGGTGGGTAAAACCATACAGACATTTTGGCCAACTCAATATCTTTTATTTCACACTTTAAGAGGGGGAAAAAACTCAGTTCGATATTCATAACATCTGCCCTAGATAAAAGGTATAGATGAAAGAAAAATATTTCAAGAAGTAGGTAAATTTTAGGTCTGTGTATATGTTATATTTAATGTAAGATGCTAAACTCTACCTTTAAAATGGAACTACCCACTTCTTTTCTTTTGCCCACAGAAAAACACATTAACTAAAATACTGTCCTTATTCAAGTGCAGAATTTTTTTTGAATGTGTACAAAAGTTTCTGATAATATCCTTAATGTGCTGGTATATATCAGGAGATCTTGGTTTCTTCTTTAGGTCATATATTTGTGGGATCTATAAATGGTGCCGTATTTAAATATGTTGCATGGTTCTTTATAAAAATTTCCATTCCCTTTAGCTAGAATAAAATGGAAAAACAGGTCCAGGCAGCACTATTGATTTGTAAAACAGAGGGTGGAGGGAAATGAACAGGAAATTATGAGTCAGATGCCACAGAATGAGTAGTTTTTGGATTCTGAGCTATCAAAAGTGTCTTTCAGTGATCAGAAAGGATATTCAAAGCTGTCTGCCAAAGAGCACCACTGAGTTGTGTTTTTTTGTTAACTTTTGAAGTACAGTTTATACATAGTCCAGTTCCGACTGCTTCTGAGCCTGCTTGATGAGGTAACCTTTTTTTTTTGTGTGACTCAGAACAACCAATTCATTCATTTCTAAATGATTCAAATTTTCTGAGCATTTTGTTTTGTGTGTCACTCAAACTTTTCAGTCACTCAAACAAATGCTGTGTTGGGGGAGGTAAAGTGATAATCAGTCTTTTGCTACCTGTTTTGTAGCTCTGGTATAAAATAATTTTTTTGCATTTTCTTGCTTTCCTTTTTTAATTTAACCTTTCTTGCTTTCCTTTTTTAATTTATTATATTTATATAATAAATATATTTTTGGTATAAAATCATTTGAAGAAGGATAACATATTTCATGAAAATAACAGGTGTGAATTAAAATGTATAGATTCAAATAGTTTTCATTATCTTTGACTCCCATTAAATGAGATTAATGAGCAATGAAATTATATATTCAATCATTTGCTTAATAAATGATTATTAAGCACCTACCATGTACTGGGCACTTATAGAGTCATGAACAAGACAAAAAACAAAGTCTCCCAAGGATCTTTCTAGGGCTGAGACATAGCCAATAAACCACTGAAAATCAAGTAAGTAACACTATTAGATGGTGTTGCTTCTTTGAAGAGAAATAAAACAGGCTAGAGGGATAGGAAGTCAAGGGTATGATGTCCAGTTCTGTTTTACTCTGGCAGGGTGATCAGAGGAAGTATCTCTCAAGAGGTGCTGTTTGAACAGAAAACTCTTTGAAGTAAGGGAGTGAACCATGCAGATATCAGGAGCAAGGGGGTTCCGGACAAAAGGAACCGAAAGAGCAGAGGCCCTGAGGTGTGGGTGTGTTGCAGGTTAGAGGAATAGCAAGAAGGCCGGTGTGGCTGCACCAGAGAGTGAAAGGCAGAATGGTAACCAGGACCCATATCTGTCACGCCTCAGAAGCTGAAGTGAGCACTTTGGATGTTATTGTAAGTATAATGGTTGAAAGCAGAGAGAGCTAGGGTCTAGTTTACATTTTAATGGCATTAGTAGGTCTGTTCTGTGAAAAGCAGATTTAGGACGGTGACCATGGAAGTCGGAATCCGCTAAGGAGTGTATAACAACTCACCTGCCACTGAATCAGATTTACTGGAGTAAAAGACCATTTAGGAGGCAATCACAGCAGTTTGTGTGACATGGATACTATACAGGTTGATAGGATTGAGAAGAGTCAGATAAGGATATCTTTAAAGTTGTGCCTTCAGGATTTGCTGCTCTATTGGATATGGAATTTGCAAGAAAGAGAAATCAAGAATGACTCCAAATTGTATGCTAACCAACCAGAGAATAAGGGCTGGATGTGGGGGCGGGGAGTATCAAGAATTTGGTTTTAGACCTATTAGGCTAAAGATACATATTAACATCCAAGTTGAACACTCAGCTAGACAAGTGAATAGTGCTAGAAATCAGGGGAGAGACTGGAGTTTTAGGAACATATAAGGTGAGTCAGGCAATGTGACTACATGAGATACAGTTATGAGGTATAGAAGGAGACTAGAAAAATCTGGAAGTCTGAGCACTATTGCAGTCTAGCATTGAGATTGGAAATGAAGGTCGAGCCAGCAAAAGACGTGAAGAAGGAGGAGTCAGTGAAACAAAAAGAAAATAAAGAGTATGGTTTCCAGAAGGCAGTGTTTCAAGAAGAGGAAGGATTGAACAACTACATCATAATGGTACATAGAGATTAAGTGAAATAAAAGTTGATAATTATCCTTTAGCCTTGATAATGTAGAAGTCAGTTATTTTTGTGACCAGTTTTGGTCCAACAATAGGAACTAAAACTATTGATCAGAGTCTGAGAGGGTAGAAAATGAAGCAGAGATAAAATTTAAATGACAATTTTGAAGAGATTTAAGTAACAGCAGGGAAATGGGATAGAGTCTAAAGAAGGATGTTATTCTGAGTAGGAAGTAGTATAGCATGTTTTTATGCGAGTAAGAATAACCTAGTGTACCAGACCGTCAATGCATGTCAGAGGATAATTGCAGGAGCAAGGTCTTTGAGTGGGGGGGGGGGGAATCCCATGCACAGTAGAGGTTTTAGGCTTACATACCATAAGTGTACAGAACATCCATCCATTTTAAAGAGAAGGCAGAACAAATGGATGTAAATTTAGCAAGTTTCATGGTATGAGGATGAGGACGTTATTTCCTGATTGCTTTCTTTTTCAGCAAGAAAATTGAGGAAGTCATTAGTTGAGAGGAAGAGGGAGATAGTATTGGAGCTTTGAAAGGAAAAGGAAAAGAAGACAATATAAAATAGTTCTTCATAAGAAAATGAGTCACCAGGCAGTGCTGAGAACCTAGTGAAATCAGTCAGCATGGTTCTGCAGTTTTACCAAAGTTCAGGTTTATGCAAAAGTGTGATTTTAATAATGGGCCTTGGATTTCAAGTAATACAAGGGCAAGAGAGGGGTAATAGCCAGAAAGTGGTGGAGTCGGTGGATTAAAATTCCTGATAAAATCACTGAATTATTTGAAGAAAACTATTAGAGGAAGTGAACTAGAAAAAATAAGGAGCTTATATAGAGAGGGTATTGGAGGATAGAAATAGGAATTGTTAGAGGTGGTGTAGTTATTGTTAATACCCAGCATGACCACGGGAGTAGGTTGTTGGCTACAGTGGAGGAGACCAGAGTGTTGGAGGACTCCTCAGTCTGTGTGTGCAGCACCATGAACGATGACAGAAGTAGAAGTGAAGAACAAGACTGAGCTAGGCATTTAAACTATTAGTGAATAAGTGAGGAGTCGACCAATAGGACAATAAAGGGCTAGACCAAAGTAGAGCAGTAGATGGTATGATTCATAGCATGTACTTCGGAGAAGATGGGGCTATTGGAGAAGGGTTAACAATATGAAAGCTGAAATACCGTATTTTGCAGTGTATAATGTGCACTTTTTTTGCCCAAATTTTTAAGGGAAATATAAGGCAAATTGAGGGATGCATATCATACATGGGTAGTGCCTGAAATACCTTATATCTGTTCTTGTGTTTTCTAACTATTCATTATATAAAATTTCTTGTAGTATAATATGTTCAAAAATAAGTGCTAAAATCCCTTTAAAATACAAAAACCAAGTATCTAAATATAAATAAAAATTGAATTAAAAAATTAAAATGAAAGTTTTTTTTCCTGAAAGTTTGGGCCAGAAACATGGGTACACATTACATACACATGGCAAAATACTGTAAGCATTGAGGGGAATCTCAAACCCATCTCCAGGCCCAGTAGTTCAGGAATACAGGAATAAAGCATCCCCAGTCTGAGAGAACTGCAGGGGAAGTAGTTCTCAAAGGATACTGAATATTCAGAGAAGAGGTGGAGGAAATAGGTCTACCCACTAAAAATGGAACAGCATATTATATGATTAAAAGTAGAACTGAAATGTTACTGCAAGCGTTCTTCTGAGATGACAAAAATAAAATGTGTTAAATTCTTGATTCCTTATTAAACATGGATTTTTCTCCTTGATTAGACTTGAAATCATTGTTTTCTTCCCAACCCTAATTATTCTTCTCTCTTCTCTATAGCAGGCAATATGAAACACCCCTTGAAGGCAACTTAATTAATCAAGAGATGATGTTAAGACGGCAAGAAGAAGAAATGGTGCAGCTTCAGGCTAGAATGGCCCTTAGACAGTCTCGGTTGAGCCTGTATCCAGGAGACACAATCAAAGCTTCTATGCTTGATATCACCAGGGATCCTTTAAGAGAAATGGCCCTTGAAACAGCCATGACACAAAGAAAATTGAGGGTGAGTTGATTACTGCATCCGAACTTGGTCTCATGGGAAATATTTTGCAAAACTTTAAAATATTCTATAGGTATTCTAAATTTGCCTGTACATGAAATTAAAATCACATGTTAGTTTTTTAAGTTAAATAGCTTGTTGGTTGATATTAAAATAAATATTTAGTTCTTTTTATTATCTCAGTTTTAAAATAACATTAGGTGGGTTTAGAGTAACTTAACTGTACATTTTTAAAGTATTTGTGTGACCCTTAAAAGTCAACTGTCTTTATTCAGTTTTGTAGGGGTTATTTTTTAATAATAACAAACCAAAAAGATCAGAGATAGATGTTCATGGCTGATTCAGAAGCTCAAGAATGTTATCAAGGACATTCATCTTTCTGCTATGTCATTCTCATAATTAATTCACTTTACAGTCATAAAGTGAGTTAGCTCCAAGCATTATATCCTCACCTTGCAATATCCAAACACAAAGAAAAAACCAGTGTACATCTTATATCTTACATTAAATGTGGAGGATTTTTTATGTGATTAGTTGGTTTATTTTTGTTTTAAATGTAAGCTCAAGAGAGCAGACTTTTTCGAAATCAAGCAGACTTTGACATATTGTCAAATTGCTCTTCAAAAATTTGTACCAATTTATGCTTTTATGATCATGCCTGTTTCACCATATTCTTACCTACTCTAGATATTATTATTCTTTTTTTGATTGCCACCAATTTGGTAGATGAGGCAATCTCATTAGTATTGCTCCTTTACAAGCAGTTCTTAAAAAGCCAAATAAGTACTAGTAAAAGTGATAAAATCCAAAATGATTTTTTTCTGTTTTGTTTTGGGCTAAGAAATTATATTACTTTATTCTATATTATTTTTATTGCTATTTTATGACTATGTAAACTTACAAATATGTGCCTCACTTGTGCTAATTTTTAAAATGTGGAATTGGGTTGTAATTTATAAGACACTGTCCAGTTTTTAAATTATTAAATTCTAATAAAACATAACTGAATTTGTGTTAAGCTGATAGATACTCAATAAGTCTTCATCAATCTATTATTAATTGTCAGAATTAAGCAATAGGCAGGATAGCATACTAAATAGCATGGGCTTCCAATAATTAAAGGCACAGAGAAAGCATAAATACACATTGTTTTCCTAAATCATAGAATTAATGTAAACTTTGACTCATTAGAGATTCATAAATGGTCACCTTTACCTTTACAGTATGCCAATTACTATGGGTTATCACTTTAAAAACTTGTGCTTTCTTACAAGGAGCCAGTATCTGGCTATTTCAAAAACACTTTATCAGAGACATGCTTTATGTCTCAAATTTAGTAGAGAATTTAAACCATTGGCCATTAAAAGATCACACAGTGGCGTGTTTTTGTTGTTGTTGTTGTCTTCTGAAAAAAGCAGGAAGGGTGTGTTTTGGGAGCTGAAGAGGAGGAGTGCTGTATTTGGAAGAACAATTCCACGACTGAATTAATGTCCTTTCCCAAAACATAAATTTAAAATTTTTTTTTCTATGTTACTCTTGGTGCAGACACATTTTAACTTGTTCATACCCTTTAGTTGATGTACATTCAATTCTAGGTTTCCCATAGCAGACCATTCTCATTTTTTCTGCTCTATCTCTATTCTTCTTTGTTGATTATTAACAAACCCATAATGTTAAACTTTTACTTAAATCATTTTTTTGGTAAACTTTTACTTTAAATGGTTTCACATGTTCCACACACTCTGTTAATTGACTAGAATTCCTACACCAAGTAGCCAAATGAACTGTATAGCCAAATGCAAAGAGCAAACTAATAAAAATAAAACTTCAGTAACCTCCATTAGTTCAAACCTGCATACCAGCTGCCTTTGGCCTCAAGGTCAGCCCTGAATTCCTTCTAGTTTTGCCCATTTGGACATAATTTTTCAACCTATTCTGATCCTGCTCCCACCTGGAGTCTATCTTATTTTAAGTTGTCTCCTCAACCAGTTCTTCCTTCTTTGCAAAAATCCCTGGATATACAGGGTGTCAAGGGAGAGAGTAGATTGAGGAGCAATAACTGCAGGGTATAGACTCCACTTTCTTCCCCTCTCAAGTCCCCCCCAGCTCCTGAGATACTATTTTTCTTACTTGAGGCAACAGTGGGAGCCAGAGACTGTCATCTTACACCATCTCTAGTTGTCACTGTTCAGAACAAAAGAACACAGTGTTGCTGGGTTCCAAGAACATAATTACAGATGGATTTGTATGTTTTGTTTTTTAATTATGATTCGATTTGTTTTAGGACAAGTCGAATATCACTCTTCTAAAACAGTGAGATTCTCTTCTGTCACTTCACATATTAGCGATATTAAACCACATTTCTATGAGCTTGATAACTGTATATGTTCCTTCACCAGTTGGGACTACTCTTGTTTTGAGAGTCTGAATCTGGAGTCCAGAAAACAAAAAACTTGTAAAACAGTACATAATGTGGCTTTACATTTGGCATCACTGGTAGAGAACACAGCCATTCATACTTGGTGTAAGGCACCTTCCATTCCTGTTCTTGGTAACTTCCACTGAAGTTCTTTATTGAAAGTTTCTACATGTGTTTCAGGTGACCTAGCTCTAATCAGGTGGCTTTATGTGTGGTTTATTTTTATTACATCATTTGTTTTCAAGGAAAGAGCTAGCATAAAGAATAAAAACTTAATTTTACTTATGTGATTTGCAGAATTTCTTTGGCCCTGAGTTTGTGAAAATGACGATTGAACCTTTTATATCTTTGGATTTGCCACAGTCTATCCTTGTAAGTAATAAAATCAATTTGTGTCACTCTTAGAAAATAATTTCAGTCATGATTTTTAAACAACAGCTGAGATTCTTATAAACTTTAATATATGCCACTTATTTTTTTTTCAATTGTAGACCAAGAAAGGGAAGAATGAGGATAACCGAAGAAAAGTAAATGTAATGCTTCTGAGTGGCCAGAGACTGGAACTGACTTGTGATACCAAAACTATATGTAAAGATGTATTTGACATGGTTGTGGCCCATATTGGCTTAGTGGAACATCATTTGTTTGCTTTAGCTACAATCAAAGGTATCAAGATGTTTTAAATTCACCATACAATATGAAAGCTTGATAAGTTGATTTCCTATACCTGTTATATCCAACCTTGTTTTGAAAAATACTAGCTACATGAACATGCAGGATGGAGAAGTAACCGTTAGGAACTCCCCTCCTTGAACCTAGGTGTATTGTTTTAGGGGTGATGTCTTTTTGCCTCATCTGCACTGGACCATGCAGATTTTTCTTTGGCTTTGATTATATAAAAATTTATTTTAATTGTTACATTTTGGGAAAAATTATATATGTCAGTTGCCTACATATGTACTCTAGAAGTTAATGTCTTGCTATTATGAATTTGAATATATAGCAGGACCCTAGTTCTGAATCTTCACATTAACTTTTTCAGCCTATACCATGAAATACACACTGTCTTTTGAAAATATTATTGGTTAATGACTGAAAATTAGTCATTTCACGTATTTTTTCAGCATTACATCCACTGGACTGTGTGACTTGCACGTCTGCAGTAGTCTGATGCCCAGTTTCAGCAGAAGCTGCTCCTGTCTGATTGGAATGCCTGTATCAATGAGCAGCCTTATGGAAAAATGGGCTTTACTAAATCTCTTTAAATTATTATATTTATAGATTACTCTTTAACATTTCGAATTTTTGTTTACCACAAAATTTAACTTAGAAAGCTAGAGGAGAAAGTACCATCAATTATAACTAAAGGATCAAATCATCCTGAAACCTTGTAAGATCAGGATAATGTCTTCTTTGTCATAAGAGAAATATTTCCTTCAATTTTTTATTGAATTCTTTTCTTAAAAACTAATGGTTCATTTTGTACAGTCATTTAATAAATATTCCATTAGTGCCTACTGATGTTCTGTCAATTTACTGATTATAATTTTAGACTAAACAGGTACTACTATCTAAATATTCAGTTAACTAGAATGTCAATTTATAATACACCTAATTTCTTAAACATTCTGGATAAGTCAGATGTAACTGAATAATCTTTTACTTGAAGAGAATCAATAATACTTATGTGATGATATAAAACAATAAAAATAAAGTGATGACTATTCTTCCTAGGTTTCAACTGGTAGCTCAATAATAATAAATAATAGCTAACATTTATTGAATGCTTGCTTACCCATGGTCATGTACTTTACCAAGTGTTTTATATTTATCATGTCATTCGATTCCTGCGAAAACCTTATAAAGCAGGAGTTGCAGGAAATAGCACTGTCCTCATTTTATAGACAAGAAAATTGATGTCTAGCAGGGTTAAATTTATTCATTGGTCACATAGATAGCAAGTGATGTGGCCAGTAGTTGAATCCAAGTCTCTGTCTTCAGACCCTTCATTCTTAAAAGACTGAGCCATATTGCCTCCCATCCATATTCAGCACCTCAGAGCTCACTGTCCTACTTCTATGTAATCTTATTTTATTCTCTTGTGAAAGTATTTTGTGCAAGTCTAACCAAAAAATGAAAAAATTGAAAGAAAACATAGAAGTATTTTTATTTTATCTGAATGTTTTTTATTGTGTTTTAGAAAATGAATATTTCTTTGTTGATCCTGATTTAAAATTAACCAAAGTGGCCCCAGAGGGATGGAAAGAAGAACCAAAGAAAAAGAACAAAGCCACTGTTACTTTCACTTTGTTTTTCCGAATTAAATTTTTCATGGATGATGTTAGTCTAATACAGTGAGTACACAGAGTTTCTATTTTTCTCTTTTTGACCCTTGGGCTTTTGACCCTTTGGTGTACTGACACTGAATTATTTGATCTAATCAATGATAGTGTCTTCTTTATCATAAAGAATTCCTTTAATGTAATTTATTAAATTATTGTGGCTTAAGAGTTTAATAATAAACTATTTTGGAAACTAAACTTACTTGTCAATAATAAAAATTATCCCAAGGTTGAAGATAAAAGCCTAGATGTCTTGTGTTTGTATTTATTTTCTAGACATACACTGACCTGTCATCAGTATTATCTCCAGCTGAGAAAAGACATCTTGGAGGAAAGGACACACTGTGATGATGAGACTTCTTTATTGCTGGCATCCTTGGCTCTCCAGGCTGAGTATGGAGATTATCAACCAGAGGTGGGATTCATTATATTCTCTGGGACCACTTTTGAATTGATGTTCTTATCCTCAGCATAGTCAAAGACTAAACCTAGTGAAAGTGTTAGCTCTTTAGATCTAGAGATTTTCGAGGCTAGTTTAATACTTCAAAATGACCAAGATCCTTATGTACACTGGTTATATAAAATCATACAATGTGGGGTTTCCCTTCCTTCTTTCCTTCCTTTCATTGTCCTATTTCAGAGTTTTGTGATATCTAGCACTTACCCTTTCTCTTCCTACTTTCTAACTGATAGATAATAGACACAGGGTTACTAGCCTGATTTGGAATAAAAGAGTCTTCTCCTTTCCATATTGATCCATGCAGTGATGGGCTGAGAACCTCACAGAGCTCACTGTATAAAAAAAAGATGTATGAACCCAAATGTTCTAGAATATAAGTGATCTAAGAGGAAGCAAGAGGCAGGAGACTCGGCCACTCAAGCAGCATCCTTCACAGCATTAGCCCTTAACTATAGTGACATTTGGTTCTTGATTGTCAGTCTCTCCTCAACTTTGCCAGTCAGTTCAGTCATTCTACCAAACTGAATAAAAGAGTATGCATTTCCTCTGAAACTCACTTCTCAGAGAGAACTATAAATAGAAGTATCTTATCTTTTGGTCGATGCAAGAACTTTTACAATAAGAGGAAGAAGGAAAACAGAATTGCTTAAAAAATCATTCTTTTTTCTAGGTTCATGGTGTGTCTTACTTTAGACTGGAGCATTATTTGCCTCCCAGGGTAATGGAGAAACTTGACTTATCCTATATTAAAGAAGAGTTACCCAAATTGCACAATACTTATGCAGGAGCTTCTGAAAAAGAGACAGAGTTAGAATTTTTAAAGGTAAGCACGCAGCATTGCAAATGAAAAGCTTTGTATCTTTATCATAGAAGCAAGATGCTTACTATACAAGATGCAAGATGATAAATGATACTGTGCATTAACTCACTTTATTTATTCCTGACTGAAACCATGGTATTTTAATTCTCGTTTTGTAAGAGAACACAAACTCAAAGGACATGTGATATTGACAAAGTCAGTGACTGTTATGTGAGGCAAAACTATGATTTGAACCCATATCCACATGCCTGTGGATTCCATGATTCATACTTTTTTTTAAAGATTTTATTTATTTATTTTTAGACAGAGGAGAAGGGAGAAAGAGAGGACAGAAACATCAGTGTGTGGTTGCCTCTTGAGCACCCCCTACTGGGGACCTGGCCCAAAACCCAGGCATGTGCCCTGACTAGGAATCTAACTGGTGACTCTTCAGTTCACAGGCCAGTGCTCAGTCCACTGAGCCACACACCAGCCAGAGCGTGCTTCATACTTTTAATGTTCCATCTAAGAAATCGTTGTCTAGCCCATAGCAACAGATTTTTTTTTAAGTTTTATAATTTAACTCCTGTATTTAGATCTGTGGTTCATTTTGGGTTAATTTTCATATATTGGATGAAGTAGGGTCCAGATTCATTTTCTTGGCATGTGAATATTCAATCGTTCCAGCAACATTTGTTGAAAAGACTATCCTTTCTATATTAAACTATATTGGTACAGGTTCTGTATCTTTGTCACCTTTTAGCAAGGTGTATTCTATTCCAACAGGTTTGCCAAAGACTGACAGAATATGGAGTTCATTTTCATCGGGTGCACCCTGAGAAAAAGTCACAAACTGGAATATTACTAGGAGTCTGTTCTAAAGGTGTCCTCGTGTTTGAGGTTCACAATGGAGTTCGCACATTGGTCCTTCGCTTTCCATGGAGGGAAACCAAGAAGATTTCTTTTTCAGTATGTCCAATTTACATCTGTTTGATTCTGTTTTAAAATAAGTGTTGTCTATTTCAAATGTTACATTCATTGACATTACTTAAGTAAGCTTTAAACCCTATCACTCAGTAGGGCTAATATGTCTTAATACTTTTTGCTCTTCTTTAACTGCAGGAAGTATTATTGAGGTTTATTTGTTTTTGGTTTTCTCAGGAGGTGATTTTTTTTTAATTATACATTCCTATCTGGTTACATGCTCAATTAACTTTAGTTAAATTATAAGCTAGCTGACTTCTCTGTTAACTCAGAAGTTATTCTAGGGTACTAACTTCTCATATGGAGAAACCACTTTAATGTATTTAAGAAAGACATCTATCTTAATCACTGTGAACTTTGTCTTGCTCAGTAATAGGTCTCTCACAGCAACTGTGTTTGAATCTCAGTGGTCCAGAGATTTGCTGGATTTTATGAACTAATCCTAGAACTTTGTGCAGTTTTAAGTTTTAGTGTATACTCTCTGTAGACATGAAGTCTAAAAAAAGATTTTTAGAAAATCATGTTCATGAAAGTCAGCTATGAATACATATTTTGATTCTGAACATAGTTGCAATATCTGAACATTGAAAGGCAATTGGCAAACCCCAGAGGTGAATCAAAAATATATTTAGGTACTTGTTTTCCAAATGGGATTCAGGAACTGCTGACATCTTTATATTTATATTTAGTTTACATTTGAGCTGAAGTATGGTCTCACCAGAATATTGTTTATAAAAATATCAAGTGTCGAGGTCTCAACTGACTCTGGATAGTCTTCAGCCTAGAGATGTCTGGAATCAGTTGTAGATCTAATAGTTAGTTAATTTGTTTCCTCTGAAACCCCTAAGATCACCAGATAATAATTTCTGAGGAAAAGCCCAGAGCATTCACATCTTTCAGGATTGTCAAGACCAAAAACTTAGCTGGGTTTAATTTACTTTCCTCAGTAGAAATGCTAGCAGTGCAAATATCTGGAGGAAATCTTAGATTAATTAAATGCAAATGTAATTTTGACCAGTTTTGAAAGGCAACAAATCAAGTCATTATTCACCATTCAGCTCTCTGTCATTTGCTGAGCTATCACACAAGTTCTGCCATATGTGGAACTAGCTGTAATTGGCTCATTTTAAAAATCTCCAGTAATAAAGAATAGACCACATTCCTATGCAAACTATTCCTGTGTTTAGCCAGTTCATCCCAAGTGCTTGCCTTTACACAGAGCTCTCTTTTGTACCCTCCTTTTTTCCTTCCACTACCATGTGGGGAGGTGGAAACATCACCTTTTCATGCCCTTTTCATCTCTCACTACTGGATTCCCTTGGGCACATTTCTTGTCCAGTCCATCAGTTAACACTTAGAATCAATTGCTCTTATAATTTGTTTCAAACCTCTATAGCTTTATAGCTCTGGAGGTCAACATCCTTAGAAATTACTTGACAGTGGTTAAATGGCATTTTAGAAAAATTTTCCAACTACTTGAATTACTAAGGATACTGCTGATAGTCAAGATACTAGTTTTGTGGTACTGTATCTTTAACTCCTCTCTAATACTTTCTGGTTTCCTTTTTTTAATGAAGAGAACAGGGTCTTAGAGATTTCATTGGCAACAACATCTTATTTTGTTTTTATTGCATCAATTACATATTTTTATAGCTGGGTTCTATATATGGGAAGTAATACTGGTTTTCTATTTATAGTTTTGATATAAAATATCTCTAAGTGAATTTATATAACTAGGCAAAGTCAATATAAAAATTTATAAATAAGTCTAGAAATTCTGAAAATGGCACCTGCATGAATGAAGTTTGAATAATACATATTCTGTTATGTATTTGACTTCTGTAGTTTATTGAGTATGCTATTACAGTTGTCCTATTTCCCCCTTTACTCCCCTCCACCCTGCACACCCTGTCTACCCTGTCCCACCCACATTCCCCACCTTAGCTTATGTCCATGTGTTATAAGTTCATTAGCTTCTACATTTCCCATACTATTCTTGCCTTCCCCCTGTCTATTTTCTACCTACCATCTATGCTACTTATTCTCTGTACCTTTTCCCCTCTTTCTCCTTTTCCCACTCTCCTGTTGCTAACCCTCCATGTGATCTCCATTTCTGTGGTTCTGTTCCTGTTCTAGTTGTTTGCTTAGTTTGTTTATCTTTTTGTTTTTGGTGTGGTTGTTAATCACTGTGAATTTGCTGTCATTTTACTGTACATGTTTTCTATCTCCTTTTTCTTAAATAAGTCCATTTAACATTTCATATAATAATGGCTTGGTGATGATGAACTCCTTGAACTTGACCTTATCTGAGAAGCACTTTATCTGCCCTTCCATTCTAAATGAAAGCTTTGCTGGATAGAGCAATCTTGGATGTAGGTCCTTGCCTTTCGAGAAATCAGCTGACAGTCTGATGGGAACTTCTTTGTAGGTAACTGTCTCCTCTTCTCTTGCTGCTTCTAGGATTCTCTCCTTCATTTTAATCTTGGCTAATGTAAATTATGATGTGCCTTGGTGTGGTACTCCTTGGGTCCAAGTTCTTTGGAACCCTCTGAGATTCCTGGATTTCCTGGAAGTCTATTTTCTTTGTCAGAATAGGGAAGTTCTTCTTTATTATTTCTTCAAATAACATTTCCACTTGTTGCTCTTCTTCTTCTCCTCCTCCTGGTACCCCTATAATTTGGATGGGAACGTTTAAAGATGTCCTGGAAGTTCCTCAGCCTCTCCTTATTTTTTTGAATTCTTATTTCTTCCTTTTCTGATTGGATGTTTCTTTCTTCCTTCTGGTCCACTCCATTGATTTGAGTCCCAGTTTTCTTCTCATCACTATTGGTTCCCTGTACATTTTCCTTTATTTCACTTAGCATATCCTTCATTTTTTCATCTAATATGTGACCAAATTCAACCAATTTTGTGAGCATCGTGATCACCAGTGCTTTGAACCGTGTGTCTGGTAGGTTGGCTATCTCTTTGTCACTTAGTTGTATTTGTTCTGGAGCTTTCATCTGTTCTTTCATTTGGGCCTTTTTTTTTCCCATCTTGATGTGCCTGTTTTGTAGTGAGGGGCAGAGCCTTAGTTGTTCACCTGGGTGAAGCAACCAGTTGCAGGGTTGTGACATAGTATGTGGGGGAGGGGTCCGAGAGGGAACAATGGAGCTTGCTCTGCTCTCTGCTGGATTTCAGTCATTTCTGCCGCTTCCCCCGGGCAAACTGGGCCCTTCTGCTGCTAGTTCTTGGGTGGGTGGGCTTGTGTACATTCTAGGACCCTGTGGGTCTCTCCAACAAACTCTCCTTTGAGGCTGGAAGTCTCTCCCTGCACCTCAACCCCCACAGGTGTTTTCAGTTGGTGTTTTGAGGCTTTATTTTCCTGTGCTGGACGCCCGGGTTGCAAAGTCTGTCTTACTCCCCAGTTTTGCCTGGTTTATCAGGATGAGAATGTGGGACCACCCAGTCCACCAGCCACCTTGTGCACTGTGCCCTTCCACAGTCCACCACCTCACTGGGTCCACCCACTACCACCTTGGGCACCCAGGGTCCACCAGCGACCACTTTGCCATGAATCTTCTCCGCCTGGCCACCCGACTCTGCCCCTCCTACTGTTCTGGATGAATATTTCTTCTTTAACTCCTTGGTTGTTGGACTTCCATACTGTTCAATTTTCTGTCAGTACTGGTTGTTTTTTCATTTCTAAATTTTTGTCATCCTTATTTTGGTTGTGCGAGGAGGCCTAGTGTGTCTACCTATACCTTCATCTTGGCCAGAAGTCCAGATGTGTATTTGACTTTTAATATGCCTACCAAATTTGACTTTTTAAATGCTTATTTCTGCATTTGAAGTAACATGACAAGGGACATGAAGTAGAAAGAATAATTTGCACAATAGAAGAAACCAAGAGCTAGTGTGGTATCTAACTTGACTTAAGCAGTTCTGCAGAGACATTCATCTTACATCCCATCATGTTGAATACTAGACTTTTAAGGCACACACAGAACACTTCAAGCCTTACCACGTAGGTCATAACATTTTGGGATGCCCTCTTACACATGAGAGAGTTTTTCAAGAAACCTCAGTTAAATAAGACTAATTGAGGTTCCCCTTCTTTCTTTGATTTTGGCAAGAATCACTGTCTCTGAATATTTATTTGTTCATTTTTCAGGCCAACAGTTTCATTAAATTAATCTTTTATTGAACTTCATTTTCTCGTCCAAGAGAGTAGAACAGGTATTTCCTGTACTTTTCATTTTCAAATAGTTTTGCTGTTTGTAAACATTGCAGTAAACTAAAAATATTGATACTTTATTAAAGAAAACTATGCTCTCCTTGTTGGTGGCTAGTGTAGTGTAGTTTAGGCTATAATTTCTGAAAGTGGCAAATAATATTAATATCTTTTACTTCCTGCATTTGTGGTAATACTGGTTTATAGTTTTCTATACTTGTATGAAGTGTAGGTCAACGAATACTAATGCCTGATAATGTGAAATAAAAGTAATATTTACATACTAATGTCTTTACAGAATTCAGTGATGTTACAAAGTAATAAGGTAATATCCTAATTATTAATACCCCTGATTGATATTGTAGAAGAAGAAAATCACATTGCAGAATACATCAGACGGAATAAAACACGCCTTCCAGACAGACAACAGTAAGGTATGCCAGTACCTGCTGCACCTCTGCTCTTCCCAGCACAAGTTTCAGCTGCAGATGAGAGCAAGACAGAGCAACCAGGATGCCCAAGATATTGGTAAGGAGAAGCAAACTGTGACAGATGACTCCAGGATATATGTATGACTGTTGCCACAACTTTTTTTTAAATTTTCATGTTTAGGATGAAAATTACAAGATATATAGATGTTAAATGACAAAGTCAAGTTCATGAAGGTGTTACCAGTGAAGCTGAGATTTCAACTTCATGTTCATTTTGATAACATAAGCCCAAATCAGTCAGGGCATGCTTGTTGAAATGTCTATTTTGAGCTTATTACTAGGCTAGCTGATGTCAATATTGTAAAAGTTTGGATCACATTCCTTACCATATAAACTTAAACTCTATTTGGGAAGATAAGAACAATATGCATGAAACAATAAGCAATACACAATAAAGGTCAAGGTTTGAATAACAGATTAAATTGTACAGACTCTATGGTCACCACAGGAGGAGAGGGAGAGGGAGATCAGAAATGAGGGTACTTGACTGTTGGAACTTGAAGTAGAACTTTAAAGGGGGTAGGGGGAGTGTGCACCCAGCAGGGTGAAGTTACATACCACAACAGTTTTGGAGGTGGCACATTTCCCATCTGTTAGCTTTGCCTGGGTGTGTCCCTGTTCTGAGACTGAGATGAACAACCACAGCACCCAATTTAAATGGTCAGGAGAGTGATTTCAGTTTCTTCTGAAAAGGAACCAGCAGAAGAAACTAATTCAGCTCTGAAAGAGTATCTCAATTAGAATCAAGATTTTAAAGGTAACTTTGCGAGATCACGTGTGGAAATTGAAGTTGCACAAAGTCTATTTCTGCATAGTATGTTGTTAATAGATTTCAAGTTAAACACTCTGAAGTTTACAATTTTTAATGGAATAGCACTCATAACCTTGTGCAACAGAGCTCTGTGAATTCTTTATCTGAACTTTCTCACATCCTGAAATCTTACAAAAAATATCTTCCCCATGGGATGAGAATGAGGAGATGGCAACCTATGAATGGATGTTTCCCAGCCTTTCAAAATTAAGAAGGTAGGGGCTGTATGCTTATTAAAAATGAAGATTCCAGAAACCTACTTGAAGCGTGGTGAATCCCAATCTTTGGGCATTGGGTCCCGGGAATCTGTATTTTAACATGCTTTCCTCAGTAATGATGTTTATGCATGCTAAAATATGATAACTACTGCTATAATCTCATTATTCCTTTTCTTTCCCCGCTTTGCTCTGCTTAAAAATTTGTATGCTCTTATATACTCTCAAAGTATAGCAAAATATCAAACTTACTAAGGCTACCAGTATATCTTTGTGGACTCATATTCTGTTCAGTACAAACCAGAATTGAACAATTGAAGGCTACATCATTATAGATGTGGCATAGTGTGCTATAGTAAAAAGAGAGAAGACAAACTATGAAGCCAGCCCTTCATGCTTAATATTTCTTATACTAAAGAACAATATAGTATAAATCTTAACGAAACCAGTAGCCAGAGTTCAAACCTCACTCTATTACTTTAAAGTTTTGAATCTTGGCAGGCAGAGAGTTTACGTATAAACTCTCTCTGCTAGTTCCCCATCTGTAAAATCATTATCATAATGACAATACCTGCATCAGAAGATTGTTTTGAAGATGAACATACTGTAAAGCACTTGAAAAGTGCCTGGCATAATATCAATACTGAATATATTTCATTGTTATCATGACCACCATCAACTTTACCACTACTAGTACTGATAGTAGTAGTAATAATAGTAGTATGACCTTAGGAAAATAACTGACTTTTTTGGAGTCTCAGTTGCTTCATCCATGAGGGGGGAATGCTTTCTATATCTCACAGGTTTGCCCCTGGGAACACAACAGCTGTAGATCCTAGAACTTGTATGCGAAAGCACTTTAAGAGGATATTATCTGCATTCCCCCGATTTTGTTTAGCCTTCAGAGGAATTATTTTCTTGTTAGAATTGGCTTAGAAGTAACTGCCTGCCCACTAGACTATTTGTACTAGAAAAGTGGAAATAACCAATGTCATCTGTAGGATGTTGAAGGGCTAACAAACGTGTTTTACTTGTTTAGCATGATAGAATTTTGGTGCTAGAAAGAACTGTAGAGGCCAGTAAGTCCAAAATTTTACTGATGAGAAATCAATCAGGTTCAGAGGAGATGTGTTTCACCTAAACTTAGAGTTAGAGGCTGAACAAGGAGGAAACCTTGATCTCTTAAATCCTAATCCAGTATTCTTCCTATATCGATGAGCTTTCAAAGAACTAATTTGCATGGAATTAAATTAAAATTAATAATCATTTTATTGAGTACTTACTACTTATAAGACATTATGCTCACTGCTGTGGGATAACAAACAATAACTGAAGCTCCTCTCAAAAGATCATATACAGTTAAGCTGACATAAAAAGGAATTACACAACAGTGAAAGAGCCTGGACAGCAGCCCAGACAAAGATTAGGAAGTGTAGTGCGGATCTACTAAGCCTTTGAGTTCATATTTGAAGCATCAGTATTAGGATGTAGGCTCATTCTAATGTTTTATCCCATCCTGTCTATGTTGATTTTTTTCCAGTTAAAAACCAGTAGGATAGACCAGGTAACTGGATAGTTTTTGACTCCATTTCATAAATATCTGCAGTATTTTAAATCCTACCCAGAAGTAAGCTATGAGCAGATTTGAATAGCATAATCCTTGATCTTTACAAAGGAGATATATCCTAAATTGAACTATCCCTATTCCTGCCAAAGTTTGGTCTACATTTTCTTTAAAGGTGAAGAATCTATTGGTTGTAAAGGTATTCGCTGATAATTGAATCTGTGTAAGACTCCAGTTTTGCATCTTTAGTCTGATCTCAAAGTAAAAGAAAATAGAAATACTATCTGCTCCATTAAAAACTCTGTGCTTTAAGCTAAAGATCCTTCTGGGAATCTTTAAACCAAAGCTTTTTGTTGTTGTTTTGTTTTTTATCATGTTTTTATTTAGTGACCATTTCTACTTCATGTAGAAGCACATCGATTTTCTCTGATGACAGACATGTTTATTTAAACTCCATCCTAATGCATGAATATCATTTATATATCTTTAATGTTTTCCTATCTTTCTACACCTGAGATGAAGTATTGATTATTAATCTTCCTAGGAAATGAAGATAATGAAACAATCTAAAAATCTAAGTCAGCAACAGTTGACATTTTCTTTTTAAAAGGAAGTTTCACTGCTGTTTTATATAGTAGTCAAGCTGTATTCCTTAAAGTGCAACATGGTGTTGGTACTTTACAAGGGGTGGGGCATGGCCAGTGGGGTGCCTTGTGATGTGAATTACTAATGCATGAACAACTAAATCATTTAAAATTCTATGCTCCCAGTCCTTTATTTACATTAAAGGATTTTGATGCCAAAATTCTGTAATGCATTGCTTTTGTTAATAGCCTCCAATGTTCACATATTTTCATAACATATTGGTTCTACAAAATACAGAGTCTGGCAGAAGTAACACCTGCTTGAGTGTGTTTCATATGGTAGTAATATGGGTGTAATCATTTACAGTTTTAATTTGAAGATTTCACCTAAAATGCCATATGGCATGCTTGAGTGTGATATTGTTATATTACAGAATTACATGCTATGATTTTGTAATATAAGATTTTGTAATAAAAAATGGGGTGTTATTTGTGCTGGACTCTGTAGAATAGCCAAGCACGTCTTAGATGGTATCTCTAAATTTTGCTTCTAAAAGAAGACTTTGGATGTGTATGTAGGAGTGAAAGGAATTCAAACATGAAGAGAGGACCCCAGCTCCTTGATCTTGTTAATTAACAGAAACCAAGAGAGAGAAGACAGTATTTGATCCTCTCGTGGCTCCTGTGCCTCAGTGTAATCACGAAAAGTCAACAAGGTTGTTGGGTGGGATTGGCACAGTAATGAAATAATGAAAGAAATATTTTACCATGAGTGCCTTTTTTGGTGACAGTTTTAAGATAAAATTCACAAATCCTATAATTCATTCACCCAAAGTGTACAGTTCAGTGGTTTTTAGTATATTCACAAATTTGTGTAACCATCACCACAGTCTGCCATAAGCTCTCAAACATGCGATTGTGAAGGACTTTGTCTGTGGGCAGACATCCTCCACACAGCGTCTCCTTCAGGTGTCATCTCACCTCCTTTAGGTGCTGGCCCATCGGGGGTTCATCTCCCCCTCTCCCATCCTTGTTTTGTGGTGTTTTAGCAGACACACTACTGGGTTGGAAATTTGCTCTGTCGAATGTCATTCTCATTTCTAACTGAAACCCATAATTGGAAATTTGGGGTCAGCAAGCATGAGGCCCAAACATTATTGGATCCAAGGAAATCTTTCGAGGAAGTAGGAAATGCTGACCAGGCCCTGGATGTAAGAAAGCTACAAGGATGGAGAGATGGTATGAAAAGCAAGACCTGCCTGCCTCCTTTTTTTGCTGACAATCAAAATGATTAAAAACTGCATGCTGTATTTTATTTATTAAAATAACTCTTCTCATAAAGGTTCTGCGGTGTTTCCATCATGTAAAGCAATCCTGTTTCCTTGTAGAGAGAGCTTCGTTTAGGAGCCTGAATCTCCAAGCGGAGTCCGTTAGAGGATTTAATATGGGACGAGCAGTCAGCACTGGCAGTCTGGCGAGCAGCACCCTGAACAAACTTGCCGTTCGACCTCTGTCAGTTCAAGCTGAGATTCTGAAGAGGCTGTCCTGCTCAGAGTTGTCGCTTTACCAGCCATTGCAAAAAAGTGCAAAAGAGAAGAGTGAGAAAACTTCATGGGAGGAAAAGCCTAGAGGGATGAGTAAATCATACCACGATCTCAGTCAGGCCTCTCTCTATCCTCATCGGAAAAATGTTCTTGTTAACCTGGAATCCCCGTCACAGACCATTGCGGAGTTGGTAGGAAAACCATTTCACCAGAAGGCAAGATCTGATACAGAGCCTTTGACAGGAGTCACAAAACCTAATAAGTAAGAACATAATTTACCCAGACTACATATTTGTAAATTCTACATTTCATACATTTGTTTTTGTTTTGACATTTTATTATTTTCACCATTTTTTTTACATTGACACACCCCCTCCTACCTTCCTTTTCCCTCTTTAGTTCAAAGTCTGTTGCAAGTTTAAATAGAAGTCCTGAAAGGAGGAAACATGAATCAGACTTCTCATCTTTTGAAGACCCTGGTCAAGCACATGTCATAGGTCAGCATAAACAAGCTTACCTTCTTTTCCCCCTGTACCTGGTGCTCATAGTGAAGTGAACAATACAGTGTAGACTACCAAGAAATTATTTTTGGTTCCATGTCCCAGTTGCCAAAACTATTTGTGAATATAAGGTTTTAGACTACTTAAAATGCACCAAATCAAATCAAAAAATGACTCAATGAGCGATTGCTTCATGGCACAGACCACTAGTCAGCTTTCTCTTGGGGGTAATTAAAAGCCATGACAGTTTTACCAAGAGAACCCAGACAGAGAACACATGGCTTTGGATGGCCTTCCTTTGGATTTTCTTTACAAGCCTGTGAAAGTAGATTCCACTAATGCTGTATTTTTTGAAGAAAAGTTTATTTAGGGTATTTTCAGCTTAGCATGAATAGAACTGTCTCTAAAAACAGATAATTTTATGAATGTGCTGTCATCGTAGGTAGAAATTCCTAGTTGACTTAAGTGTTTTGAATTCTCCCAGCTAGCCGGGGCCTGTTAATAATATAAGTATAGAGAGTGTGTGTTTATAAACACACACTACTTTCTAAGGTAAATAGTTCAGATTTCCTGTTGCTTTATGCATCTTTAAAGGGACATGCATAGAACCGGTCTTTCAGGAGAGTAGATAGTAAAGCACAGAGGTCTGGAAGATTACCTAAAATAAGAAACAGCTCGGGAGACAAAGGGAAACAAAAATAACCCTCTTCTGCCTTTGTTCAACTAAATAATACTAATCATCCCTCCCTTAGACCAAAGTTTGTTTGATCATTTAACTCTAACTTCACAAAGTTAAGAAAGTAGTATTCTTTTAACCTGTAAAAATTGGGGGTATGTGAATTAAGTGAAGTCAAAAAAGAACTCTACACTAGAATTGATAAATATTTATGGGAAGTAATGTTACTTTATTGATATAGGCTTCCACAACTTTTTCAGAGATTATACTATCATCAATTTTAATTTAATTGGTTTAAAAAAACCTTTTAAACAGTTAAAAGGCAAGATTTCATCCTATAGGTCACCCTTTTGTGTTAAAAATAACATAAGAAGACACTGATTCAATCTTTTATGAAACACTTTTCAAAGTACATTTACTAAGAGATATGATATCTCTTATCAAGTTTAAGCTATTTTCATTAGGAAGGCTTTGCTTTATATAAAAAACCATCACATATCAGATGTAGAGTAGTAATATTACATAGACAAACACAGATAAAATAAAACCCATGAAAGAAATCTTATTTTCTGCAGTTACTTTTTGATTATTTATTATTATTGAATATTTTATTTTCTTTTAACATTTGCACAAATGTTTTTAAATATTTCAGTTTGATCATTCCATATCTGGCATATCAATGTTATTGTCAGAAATAATACATATGTGTTTAAATTTATTCTGCAATACAAGTTGATATGCTTAACCTGGGCATTAAAAATAGTAAGTCCATTGTCAGAAGACATATTTTTCTGAGTGTAAGTAAAAGAAAATGTTGCACCTTAATGTTTTACTGCTTTTATGAATTTATCAGAAGAAATTACTTATCTAGTATCTGACCATTTTATAAACTGTCTAATAATTTAATTTATACCACAGGAATGACTTTGCATAGTTCTGGAAATTCTTCATCCCAAGTACCCTTAAACGAAAATGGTAGGTTTATAAAATGTTTTCCCCCTCCTTTTCATCATACCTTTTCTCTTGTACCTTGTGAGCTGGTCTTAGACCTAATAATGAAGTGTCTTCAAATCTTTGCCAATGATTTTAAGCCTTACATTGCAGTCAAAGGAGAATTGTAAAAGTACAGTTCTTTTGCAACATCATAGTGATGTGATGAGACCTATAATTTAGGCTAATGTTGATGAACAAGAGAAATGACAAATTAAAGATATGGACACTAATTGGAAGGCTAAGGTAATTCAGGTGAGAGATAATTTTGATCAAAGAGTTTTAACCAAAGTGGCTATTTTAATGAGATACTTGAGCTGAATCTTGAATAAAAGGATTTATTCAGATGGACTGGTATGGATAAGCACTCCAGACCAAGAGTGCAGTATTATCAGAGACATGGAGACATGTGAGAAGGGACAGCAGATTCAGGGAATTATAGGAATCTCAGCATGGAGGCATGTGAGGATAAGGTTGAAGCTCAATAACTAAATAGGACCAGTGTTGAATCTTATCCTAAGTCTTATGTGAAGGATTTGAAGACTTAAAACATTGAGATTTATACTTTAGAAGTCTAAGAAGAAACGAAGTTATGAGAAGAAACTGTGTATTCACTTCAAAGTTGGTGGATTCAGAAGTTTTAGAATTCAGGTTACAAAATATTTGCATGGCCATTATCTTACTTGAGTTTTGTAGCACTTTTCATGGGTAGAAAGAATGTTTTATTATTATACATGCACTACTTTCCTCCAAAAATGCTTCAGTCTTACCCTCAAACTTTTGAAGTTGAATCAGAAATCTGATGAAAAAGAAGCAAATACGTTAACCAAATAACATAGTTAAACTTGATGAAGTTTTAAGTTTAGTTCTAATTTGCCTGAGAACCAAGGCAAAAATGTAGGCATGAGAATAGTTTGAACCGTATGAAACTGCTGTTTTTGTAGGTCAAAACAGTCAAAGAGCTGAATGCTAATTTTTGGTAATTCTCATTCTCTAATATAAATGCACATACCAGTTCTTTCAGAGAGGAAAATATTTCTTGGAAGTGAAATTGTGTCATAACATAAAAATACACATAATGCCTTAAATATAGACATAGTAAATGTAGGATTTTTTTATCTTTTTAAAAAAGATTTTATTTATTTATTTATTAGAGAGGGGAGGGAGAGAAACATAGTTGTGCAAGAGAGAAAGAGTTGCCTCTCACACTCCCCCAACCAGGAACCTGGCACTCAACCCAGGGATGGGCCCTGACTGGGAAAGGTCAAACCAGTGACCTTTCAGTTCACAGGCCAGCTCTCAATCCACTGAGCCACAGCAGCCAGGACTCATCTTATTTTTTTAAAAATATATCAATCTTGGAAAATCTAAGGGACGTATCATTAAAGAAAAACAACTTATACTTGGGCCCCAGTTATGAAGACCCTGGCATATATATTTGTGATGATCAAGTGCCCTACATGGACTGAATTTAGAATGCCTGTGTATCTAAATAGCTCAATTATTAAAATGTCCACAATGGTGGTAATTCTTGTCTAACAGCTATTGAATGCTTACTGTGTACCAAACACCTCATGTTTATTTAATCTCCACAACAGCCCTGTCAATCAGGGGCTAATATTATTTCCTTTTCACAAATGAGAAACCAAACCATAAAGAAGCGGAACTGTACAGAAAGTCATGTAGCCAGCAAGTTCTCATGCCATGATTTGGATTCAGGAAGTCTATTTCCAAAGCCCATGCTCTATCTACTTCACTCTTTAAACTGTCTCCTAGCATAGTAATGCCTAATTATATTTATAGGTATTATTCTAACAGCTAAGATTTTTAAAAAAGATTTTATTAATTTATCTTTAGAGAAAGCGGAAGGGAGGGAGAAAAAGAGGAGAGAAACATCAATGTGTGGTTGCCTCTCGCACACCCCCTAATGGAGACCTGGCCTGCAACCCAGGCATGTGCCCTGACTAGGAATCAAACCAGTGACCCTTAGGTTCTCAGGCCAGCAATCAATCCACTGAGCCACACCAGGCAGGGCTAACAGCTAAGATTTTTAAATAAGCTGGGTAGTAATTTATTCAGGGGTAAGAACTTGAAATGTGTTTTAACCTAGCTTCTGATGAAAGAATATGAATTTATATTGTATACCACATGAACAGTGTGTACAGAGTAGTTTCTCTGTTTAAAACTTTGTCCACCTGTTCCCTGCAGAAGAAGGGTTGATCCACCTTCCTATGGATGTGTGTCCCAGTTGCCCAGCAGACAAGTCTATGTTTTCTTCACAATTACCTCTGAATCTTTCCAATTATCCCTGAATTAGTACTCTGTTGAGAATTGAGTTTCACTAAATTCTCAATTGAGAATTAAATTCTCTGTTGAGAATTTAGTAATAAAGCATGGCAAACATGTATTTTCAAGTAAGGTAACTGATAATCAAAAAGTTAAGCAGTTGCCCATGAATCAAATTTATTACCTCATATTCTATTTTCAATGTTCTTCCTTACTGGTCAAGATTATTAGAAGAAAATTAGAAGCATCAATTAATATCGATCTATTCATCACTTAATACAAGGACCAACAAATAAAATTTAATTTTAAACTTACGACTTTCAGAGACTCTTAAAGAAGGTGAAACTTGAACAGAAAGGTAAAAGAATAAGGGGATGAATCTTCTAATTTCATAAAACAGAAATAGGAAGGATTCAAATTTTTTATTGTAAATTTTTTAAGTTGCTTAATCTTTCAGAAAACACACATTATATTTTCTGCTAAGCAAGTAAAAACAAAAATGTAGAACTTATGCAAGAATATATAAAAGTGTTTTTTAGTGTTTCCCATTTTACTATGATTCAGGATTATTATACATTTCAAAAGTAATTTTTATCTAGATCTGTTACCTTTCTTCCTGTTCAAACCACAAAAATGGGGTCAAACACTCTTAAAAAAAACAAAATGCAGGAAAACTTGTCATGTGAAATAGGTTATTCTGGTACAGAGGAACTTGGTATAGACAGTAAAATAAGCTTCTTCTCCTAATATTAAATCGGTTTTTTTTTATGGCCAATCTTTTCAAAATATATTTTATGGATAATGCTATTACAGTTGTCCCAATTTTTCCCCTTTTGACCCCCTCCACTCAGTATCCTCCATTCTCTCCAGGCACCCTCCACCCTTTAGTTCATATGCATGGGTCATGTATATCAGTGGCTTCTCCATTTCCTATACTGTTCATAACCTCCTCCTGCCTATTCTGTACCTACCACTTTGTACTTAATCCCTGCACCTTTTCCCCCATTCTCCCCTTTCACCCTCCCAAATGATAACTTTCCGAATAATCTCCATATCTATGATTCTGTTTCTGTTCTGCTTGTTTTTTAGATTCAGTTGTTGATAGTTTTGAATTTATTGCCATTTTAATGTTCATAGTTTTGATCATCTTCTTTTTCTTAAATAAGTCCCTTTAACATTTCATAAGTAAGGGCTTAGTGATGATGAACTCCTTTAGCTTTACCTTTTCTGGGGAGCACTTTACCTGCCCTTCAGTTCTAAGTGATAGCTTTGCTGGATAGAGTAATCTTGGATGTGGGTCCTTGCCTTTCATGACTTGGAATACTTCTTTCCACTCCCTTCTTGCCTGCAAAGTTTCTTTTGAAACTTTGAGAAATTTTGAGAAATCAGTTGATAGTCTGATGGGAACTCCTTTGTAGGTAACTATCTGCCTTTCTCTTGCTGCTTTTAAGATTCTGTATGCTTTGGCATTTTAATTATGATGTATCTTGGTGTAGTTTTTTTTGTGTACATCTTGTTTGTGAATCTCTGTTTCCTGGACTTGTATGTCTATTTCCTTCACATTAGGGAAGTTTTCTTTCATTATTTTTCCAAATAAGTTTTCAATTTCTTGTTCTTTCTCTTTTCCTTCTGGCATCCCAATGATTTAGATGTTGTTATATTTGAAGCTGTCCCAGAGGCTTCTTAGCCTATCCTTGTTTTTTTGGATTCTTTTTTCTTCTTGCTGTTCTGATTGAATTTTTTTCTTTCTTGTGTTCCAAATCATTGATCTGATTCTTGCCTTCATCCCCTCCACTATTGATTCCCTGTAAATTTTTCTTTATTTCACTTAGTGTAGCCTTCATTTCTGCCTGGGTCTTTTTTATGCTGTTGAAGTACCCAATGATTAGTTCCTTGAGGATCCTTTTAACTAGTGTTTTGAACTCTGCATCCAATAGATTACTTATTTCCATTTCATGTAGTTCTTTTTCTAGAATTCTGTTGTATTCTTTCATTTGGGCCATATTTCTTTGTCTTCTCATTTTCGCTGCCCCCCTGTGTTTATTTCTATGTATTAGGCAGAGCTATTTTGACTCCCTCTCTTAGTAGCAGGGACTGATATAGAAAAGCTCATTTGTAAGTTAGATGGAGTGGAGCCTTAGGGAATCTTTAGGCAGAGAAACCCATGTGATCCAGGTTGTTGGAGTCTCAGATATGGTGCTGCCCACTCTGTGACTATGTTTAGGGGAGCGCTCAGAAAAGGAACAATAGCCACCACCTGGCCACTGGGGTTTTGCCTGGGAGGAAACTGTAGCCCGGCACTTGCCCTGATGCCAGTCACTTCAGTTTCTCCCTGTATGACACTGGTGTCCCTCAAGCTGCTGCCCTGGTGGACCAGCCCAGAGGAAGACAGTCTACATAAGTCCTAAGTCCGTTGCAGACCCTTTAAGAGGAGATGCCTAAGAATCCCATAGTTTCTCTGCCCCCCAACCCCTGCTTATTTTTACATCCAGATGTTATGCAGACCTGTCTTACAGGCATTGGAACCCTGGGCTGGGTGGTCTGGTGTGTGGCTTGGATCCCTTACTCCTGAGATACCCCTTTCAATTTTTATTCACCATACATGGGTGCAAGACCACCTGTCTTCATGTCTCTGCATCTATGCCCATCCTACCCATCTGAATGAATGTGACTTCTTTAATTCCTTAGTTGTTAGACTT